TGAGATGAGTGTGTGAGACGGATGTGTGAGATGAGTGTGTGAGACGGATATGTGAGATGAGTGTGTGAGACGGATGTGTGAGATGAGTGTGTGAGACGGATGTGTGAGATGAGTGTGTGAGACGGATGTGTGAGATGAGTGTGTGAGATGAGTGTGTGAGATGGGCGTGTGAGATGAGTGTGTGAGACGGATGTGTGAGATGAGTGTGTGAGACGGATGTGTGAGATGAGTGTGTGAGACGGATGTGTGAGATGAGTGTGTGAGACGTATGTGTGAGATAAGTCTGTGAGACGGATGTGTGAGATGAGTGTGTGAGACGGATGTGTGAGATGAGTGTGTGAGACGGATGTGTGAGATGAGTGTGTGAGACGGATGTGTGAGATGAGTGTGTGAGACGGATGTGTGAGATGAGTGTGTGAGACGGATGTGTGAGATGAGTGCGTGAGACGGATGTGTGAGATGGGTGCGTGAGATGGGTGCGTGAGATGAGGGTGTGAGATGTGAGATGAGTGTGTGAGATGAGTGTGTGAGATGGGTGTGTTAGATGAGTTTGTGAGATGTGAGATGAGTGTGTGAGATGAGTGTGTGAGATGAGTGTGTGAGACGGATGTGTGAGATGGGTGCGTGAGATGGGTGCGTGAGATGGGTGTGTGAGATGGGTGTGTGAGAGGGGTGTGTGAGATGAGTTTGTGAGATGTGAGATGAGTGTGTGAGATGGGTGTGTGAGATGTGGGATGATGTGTGAGATGAGTGTGTGAGATGGGTGTGTGAGATGGGTGTGTGAGATGAGTTTGTGAGATGTGAGATGAGTGTGTGAGATGAGTGTGTGAGATGTGGGATGATGTGTGAGATGAGTGTGTGAGATTGGTGCGTGAGATGGGTTTAACCAGCTAATCAGCGGTACAGTTAAATCGGGGCGTGTCACTTCATGTGAGTTACTTTTTTTGTTTCTGTGAGAACATAAAGTCAGAAGAACTGGAAACAGTTTGTTTTAAATTCTCTAGCTTCATAACTGTATCAGTATCTGAACAAAACATTATGGATCCCTTAGCATGAATACCACTCGCCTGGATCAGTATCTGAACAAAACATTACGGATCCCTTAGCATGAATACCACTCGCCTGGATCAGTATCTGAACAAAACATTACGGATCCCTTAGCATGAATACTACTCGCCTGGATCAGTATCTGAACAAAACATTACGGATCCCTTAGCATGAATACCACTCGCCTGGATCAGTATCTGAACAAAACATTACGGATCCCTTAGCATGAATACCACTCGCCTGGATCAGTATCTGAACAAAACATTACGGATCCCTTAGCATGAATACCACTCGCCTGGATCAGTATCTGAACAAAACATTACGGATCCCTTAGCATGAATACCGCTCGCCTGGATCAGTATCTGAACAAAACATTACGGATCCCTTAGCATGAATACCACTCACCTGGATCAGTATCTGAACAAAACATTACGGATTCTTTAGCATGAATACCACTCGCCTGGATTAGTGGTATGGCAAGAATTTGTGACCTTATTTCATAAACGTGAATCAGGTTCGGTGTTAAAAAGCTTTAAACTTTTTTAAACTTGAATTTAAAGTTTTGCCCCGTTTCTGACTTGTAGTATCGGGGGATTCGTAAACTAAGCAAATAAAATAAAACGCCTAATAGAGTTTAATGTCTCCGGACTATACGCGTGACATACAGTACACTACGTTTATAACGAACACGCTTATAACGAACACGCTTATAACGAACATACCGATATATAACGAACTTATTTTAGTCCCACCCATGTGTTGCATATATGCTGTATATATGCTTATACCGAACTACGGTTATTACGAACTACAATTAGTGGTCCTTTTGAGTTCGTTATAACCGTAGTTTACTCTATTTATACACAAATGATATTCTCACCTCTCTGCTCGCCTCTACCCCCTTCTGGACCAGGCTCGTCAGGGCACCCTGGAATTCCCTGGGGACGCGAGCCAGTGGCTGGTTCGTGTACACAGTAGCGATAGACATGGCTCTTGACAGCAAAGATGTGACTTGAGGCAATTCCCGATCAGTGATATCAAAACTATCCCGATGATCCACGAAAGCGGTCTACAGACAGTAGCAGAAGCACGTTATAACAGTAGTAGCAGCTGACTATAAGTGACTTGAAGTCTCCGGTTGTTTATCAGATATGTTAGCGCTGCGTCCGGTTGTGCTATTTATAGCTCAACGCGGATGTGTGACGTCACGTGGGTTTTCCAGGTAAGCCGGACTTGTTCCGAGGAACGCTGCGTTGTAGGAAAGTCGGTCCGTGCTGACCCATCGCCCAACTCCCAAGGTGTGGTGCGATCACGTGACAAATGTTTATCAACATGTTTGTCGTTCTCATTGCTTGAAGTTATATAGCTTTGTGTGTTATTTCATAGTACATAAGACAGTTTTCAGCGAATAGATAGCAAATGTGGCCACAGGTTTTGTACAAATACGTAGGTAGAAACTAACAGTTTTATCCACTAGTATGTATAATGTTTAGAATCTTCCGAATGTATAATGTTTAGTCTTCCGAATGTATAATGTTTAGAATCTTCCGAATGTATAATGTTTAGAATCTTCTGAATGTATAATGTTTAGTCTTCCGAATGTATAATGTTTAGAATCCTCCGAATGTATAATGTTTAGTCTTCCGAATGTATAATGTTTAGAATCTTCCAAATGTATAATGTTTAGAATCTTCCAAATGTATAATGTTTAGAATCTTCCGAATGTATAATGTTTAGTCTTCCGAATGTATAATGTTTAGAATCTTCCAAATGTATAATGTTTAGAATCTTCCAAATGTATAATGTTTAGAATCTTCCGAATGTATAATGTTTAGTCTTCCGAATGTATAATGTTTAGAATCTGCGTGCGCTCTTATATTGTAAATAATATATAACTTATGTCAAAAAGGTCCTCAAATAATGATACTCGTCTTCACAATTCTATTGCTATAAAGTAAAACTACATCCCAAAACCTCAGCAAATTATAGCAAATTCAGCATTTATAATGGCGGCTACTTTCCAGATTGCTTCGATGCTGTCGTGGCCTTTTAATACATGGAGCGAGACAGAATGATTAATCGTGAGAGACGGAACACAGAGCAGGGAGAGAATCAGATACTGTATGAGAAACCGGTCAGTCATCCTCGGTATTGTTCAGATCACGATACAATCATGAGATCAGGGTCTGATATGTTTTTTAGGGAATCAAAACGATGAATGAGAACATGGGACCAAGGCGGGACAGACTCGTACACTTTAAAAAAACACCTTCAGTATTATCAGATTAGTGCGAGTTTTAAAGTTAGCTTTTTAGAAAAAAACTTTTCGTCAGTTCCTGATTCAATTATGTACAGGTCGTCGAATGAACTATTTTATTATTAAAATATATGTTATTCCTAATATAATATAAATGAAGATGATATTTTACAAAATACTAGAACCATATCACGTTTGCCTTACCTGACACGGGCAACATATAACGACTACAGTCTCCTGTTACAGAACACGTGTGTCAACCCGGAAGTCCGGGTATGTTTGAACACCACCAACTGTGTTGTTGTGTTGCCCAGGGTGATGGCCGGTACTTCCGGGTAAACACCGCACCCGAGTATAAAAACTATAGGTCAACGGCACATTGTGAAATAGATGTGTTGTATGTATTTTCATGTTTTGGAGCACTGTTTGAATATTTTGTCTCACTCAGATATCCGCTGTGATATATAGCAGTAATATTGCTGACTACAGCGCACCCAATCTTATTTAAATCAGATCTTAGCTCTCGCTATCGCTAAACAAAGATCTGAGGACATCCCATTACGGGTCATGTCAGAACGACCTTTCATACGACCAATCAAAGAGTCGCTTACCAGATCACGAGTGAGTGAGTGAGTTTGATTTAACGCCGCTTTTAGAAATATTCCAGCAATATCACGGCGGGGGACACAAGAAATGGGCTTCACACATTGTACCCATGTCGGGAATCGAACCCGGGTCTTCGGCGTGACGAGTGAACGTTTTAATCACTGGGCTACCCGCCTAATTGGCTGATGTCGATTTCTTGTTCTTCGTTTAAGTGGTTGGTCAAAGTTCGCGAAAGGTCGTTCTGACGTGACCCGTAATGGGATGTCCTCAGATCTTTGTTTAGCGGCAGCGGGAACTTAGATCTGATCTTAGTGAGATTGGAGCGCACCGGGATACAATTGTAATGTTACTGACGACAGTTCTCCGAGATATAACTGTAATATTGCTAACTACAGAAAGCTGTGATATAACTGTAATATCACTGACTATGACGTCACTGTCATCACACACAAACACCGTGACGACAGTTGATGACGACCCCAGTAGATACTGACAATGTAACACAAATGGATGCCAAACCAATATTTAATAACTGATGCACTGACACAACGCTCCACAGTCCGACCGATGTACAAGGTCTGATGTTTGTGAACACTACAACGTAGAGAGGACAGTGAAAGAACGGCACAGGATACTATACGTGGATAACATTTCACAGGCTAGCAGTTCTTCTCTACGGTCATACTATACTGAACCACAAAAGAAACGTCACCATGGATAGATATACGAGAAATCTTATTTGTCCAAACACTGTAAACATACTTTGAGACATATTAAATAGATGAAACTCGACAGGAATTACCCAGATATTTAATGCAATGTTACTTGGGGTGACGTTTGTTTTGCGGTTTAGTATATATCACAATGGACATATTTTATAATATTTTAGAAAATAAACATAGAAAATAAATCGTAAATATTCTTGAAACGTCGCCTCTACTAGTGTATATCTTAGTATACGAGTATATCTTAGTATACGAGTCAGTTGCAGTTTTCCCACGGTTGACAGTTTTGGTACTGATTAATAACAGCATTTTTTGTATGATTAAAAACCGGACTCAATACTAGATACCAAATTGAATGACATAATTTAAATTGTCCGGGTGTCAAAGGAGTTATCTTCCCTTGCTTTAACTGCCACAATATCTGTAAATATACCAGTCCACAGACTCATACCAGTCCACAGACTCATGCCAGTCCACAAACTCATGCCAGTCCACAGACTCATGCCAGTCCACAGACTCATGACTGTCCACAAACTCATGCCAGTCCACAGACTCATGCCAGTCCACAGACTCATACCAGTCCACAGACTCATACCAGTCCACAGACTCATGCCAGTCCACAGACTCATACCAGTCCACAGACTCATACCAGTCCACAGACTCATGCCAGTCCACAGACTCATACCAGTCCACAGACTCATGCCAGTCCACAGACTCATACCAGTCCACAGACTCATGCCAGTCCACAGACTCATACCAGTCCACAGACTCATGACAGTCCACAGACTCATACCAGTCCACAGACTCATGCCAGTCCACAGACTCATGCCAGTCCACAGACTCATGACAGTCCACAGACTCATGCCAGTCCACAGACTCATACCAGTCCATAGACTCATACCAGTCCACAGACTCATGACAGTCGCAGCGCTACTCTCCCTTACGTTGTAGGGAAACGCTGTTATTGCACTACCCATCTTGATGAGATTATGCACCCGTGAAGATCCGGGTTAGTATAGGTCTTCAGCAACCCATGCTTGTCGTAAGAGGCGACTAAAGGGATCGGTGGTCAGACTCGCTGACCTGGTTGATGTCATCGTTTCCCAATTGTGTTGGTCGATGCTCATGATATCAATCACTTGATTGTCTGGTCTAGACTCGATTATTTACATACCACCGTCCTATAGCTGGAATATTGCTGAACTCGGCGTTAAACAGCAAAGAAAATAGATAAAATGATTCAATTATGGATAACTGGAGTGGAAAATAAGGAATTGTTAATCCATCTGAGAAATATCGGAGAAGTGATGTCAGCAAGAATATAGAACACAGTATTATATGAAAACATTTTCACAAAACAAAACTTGTCTAACCTTGTAGACTGTTAATGACTTATGTATTGAGACCTCGTTATCTTTAAGAGTGATAAAAGAGATCCATCATCACATAACCATCGTAATACGAGAAAAGATGAGTTGCAGGTCAGGGAAAGGGGACGCTGACACGTACTAAGATGTGTGTTGATGCCGCTGTCGTCACGTCGTCAGCGCCTGCGATGTTCAGGCTGTCGTCGAGTATGCTGCGTTGAGAGAGAAGCCTTTAAAATAATTGTTGGTGATATGAGGTTAAATTGGGTTTAACGTCGCGTCCAAGATTATTGCACTTATATAGCGACGTGCATGTACGTGTGTGTGGCTGCTTGTACTAGTCCGGACTGATGCTGATTTATAGTTCTAGCTCACTGAGATACCATGCCGCAGTTTAACATGAATACCCCACTCAGACACAGTATACGGACTCCGAGCCGACCAGCCCTTGTTTTAGCCCCTTAATGCCGAGCGCCAGACAGGGTAACAACAAGTACCATCTTTTAACGTATTTTGGTCGGTGATATCATGGCTTGTTGTTGTGAACGTGGTGATGAGAAATATGTGACGAATGATGACACGTGTTGTAGCATGTGTTATTATCTAATGGATTGATGTAGCATATATCGTGAGACATGGACTATTGTAGCATATATCGTGAGACATGGACTATTGTAGTGTATGTGGAGAGACGTGGATTGTTGTAACATAAGAGATGAGACATGGATTGTTGCAACAAATGTTGAGAGACATTGTTGTAGTGTATGTGGAGAGACATGGCTTGTTGTAGCATTTGTGGAGAAACATGGATTGTAGCATAAGAGATGAGACATGGATTGTTGTAGCATATGTGGAGAGACTTGGCTTGTTGTAGCATTTGTGGAGAAACATGGATTGTTGTATCATATATGGAGATACTTGGATTGTTGTAGCATATGTGGAGGGACGTGGATTGTTGTAGCATATGTGGAAAGACATGGATTGTTGTAGCATTAGTGGAGAACCATGGATTGTTGTATCATATATGGAGATACTTGGATTGTTGTAGCATATGTGGAGGGACGTGGATTGTTGTAGCATATGTTTAAGAGACATGGATCGTTGTAGCATATGTAGAGAGACGTGGATTGTTGTAAGCAATGTGGTGAGATATAGATTGGTAAAGCATATGCGGTGAGACATGGATTGTTGTAGCATTTGTGGAGAACCATGGATTGTTGTATCATATATGGAGATACTTGGATTGTTGTAGCATATGTGGAGAGACGTGGATTGTTGTAGCATATGCGGTGAGACATGGATTGTTGTAGCATTTGTGGAGAACCATGGATTGTTGTATCATATATGGAGATACTTGGATTGTTGTAGCATATGTGGAGAGACGTGGATTGCTGTAGCAAATGTGGTGAGACATGGATTGTTGTAGCATATGTTGAGAGACGTTGATTGTTGTAGCATATGAAGTGAGTGAGTGAGTTGGGTTTAACGCCGCTTTGAACAGTATTCCAGTCATATCGCGGTGTAGCATATGTAGAGAGACATGGATTGTTGTAGTATATGCGGTGAGACATGGATTGTTGTAGCATATATGGAGATACATGGATTGTTGTAGCATATGTGGCGAGACGTGGATTGTTGTAGCATATGAAGTGAGTGAGTGAGTTGGGTTTAACGCCGCTTTGAACAGTATTCCAGTCATATCGCGGTGTAGCATATGTAGAGAGACATGGATTGTTGTAGTATATGCGGTGAGACATGGATTATTGTAGCATATATGGCGAGACATGGATTGTTGTAGCATATGTTTTGAGACATGGATTGTTGTAGCATATGTGGTGTGATGTGAATTGTTGTAGCATATGTGGAGAGACATGGATTATTGTAGCATATGTGGAGAGATATGGCCTGTTGTAGCATATGTGGAGAGACATGTCTATGAAACAAAGAGAGTGCACGTGAATAATGCTCTGCAAGATCTCAGCAACCAGCCATTCATTCTATGCTAAGGTTAATTTGGAATCCTCTTTATCAAGATAACCACATTCTGGTTGCATTGGGCATACGACTGTGTACGTTAATAGTGCCCTCGTAATCTGTTTCTATGGTTAGTTAAGCTACGAATTCACTTTCATAAGAAGATAATTACTTTCTAATGGCACCCTACTCCAACTTACCTTGGTCACCATGGAGTCTCATCTGTGGGGCATCACCAGGGACAGTCTGCTGGACCACTCCCCCTCGTGAGTCCCTGTCTCCGTCCTCCGTCAAGGAATGTTTGTCATCCAAGGGCCAGCTATTCATCACCTTTCCACGCCGTCCGTCCCCGACACCTGGTTGTCTAATCTCTGGCTTGTTTGGTGGCTTGTTGGGGTTCTCCCCCGTTCTGTCGTCACCGTCTCCCCCACGCTGGGCCATGCCTGCATTGTTCTTTCCAGGCTTACCATCTCTGGCCATCATGATCATATCTTGAGTTATCACACCAGGGCCTTTGTTTCTGCTTCCACCACCCCCCTTCTGCCAGTTCTCGTCTTCATCATCCTCATCATCATTGCTGACTTTGTTCTCCTCACTCTCCTGACGATCCTCGACTTCAGTCTTTACCATATTCTTTCCGCCATTCGACTTGAACTGTTTGAACATCCGGTTGAACCAACTGTCTCGTTTGATTCTCTCTGAGTCAGCATTCTGCTCCACGGGAGTTTGATTCTCGACCTTCCATGGTTGAAACACGGGGATACTGGCGCGATCTGGTTGTCTCTCCACATTTGGATCTCCCTCTGATTGAGGGGTTTTATCTTCCTCGCCTGATTCTATATTTGCTGAGTCAGCATTCTGCTCATCGGGACTTTGATTCTGGACCTTCCATGGTTGAAACACGGGGATACTGGCGCGATATGGTTGTCTCTCCACATTTGGATCTCCCTCTGATTGAGGAGTTTTATCTTCCTCGCTTGGTTCTATATTTGTCGAGTCAGCATTCTGCTCATCGGGAGTTTGATTCTGGACCTTCCATGGTTGAAACACGGGGATACTGGCGCGATCTGGTTGCCTGTCAGTCACCGCAGACTCAATCTGTATTTGCGCAGGTTGACTAGCGACCTTCTGTGAACCTCTTGAAATCTGTTCAGTCTTTTGTTCTTCACCTGTTAACACCGTAACAGGTCCTTTTCTCCTTCCCACGATTCCGATCTGTGCCTGACGGTTTCTTTTTCTCTCTAATCGTGTCTTCTTCTTCAGCTCTCTCTGTCTCTGTTTCTCCTGCCGTCTGAGTGCACGGTTCCTCCCTCTACGACCTTTCTGTCCTGCTATATTCTTCTTCCTCCTCCTCTTGTTCCTCTTCTTCTCAACACCAATGACTTCCACAGGATCAGCGGCCTTGCTGACTTCTGTAGACAGAGATCCTACCTCACCACCATTGGTTTGCGGATTACTCACGAATTCTAGCTCCATGTGATGTTTCCCTTCCTTTTCCATCTGCTCCAACTCGTCCTTGAAGTCTTCGGATCCTGGGCCCGTTAGCGTTCCTGAATCAAGGAGACTCTTCACCTTCACATCCCAGACAACGTCTTCATCTGGCGCCAGCTCAACATCAGCTTTAGCTGCATCTGGGCCAAGACCGTGCTCTGCACCCAGAACAAACGTTGGCTGTATCTCAGAAGGTGCTGGTGAAGGGTCTGGGTGTTTGTGGTGAACCATTTGTGCCAGCTTTGCTTTGATTGTGTCCCAGTCGCTGTTACCTGACAAAGATGAACAACACGACAATGTAATCTCACAGTTTTTCAAATGTAGGGTAATGGATAAGAATAATTTTAAAGGTAACATTAATTGTAAAAACGAAACACCGGATGATGAAAAACTCGACAATGTAATCTCACAGTTTTTCAAATGAAGGATAATGGATCAGAACAATTTTAAAGGCTACATTAAGTGTATAAACAAAACACCGGATGATGAACAACACGGCAATGTAATCTCGCAGTTTTTCAAATGTAGGATAATGAATAAGTACAATTTGAAAGGCTACATTAGTTGTAAAAACGAAACACCGGATGATGAACAGCACGAAATGTAATCTCACAGTTTTTCAAATATAGGGTAATGGAAAAGAACAATTTTTAAGGCTAAATTAGTTGTAAAAACGGAACAAGATTACATCGAAAACCTGTTGCTTCATGATTTTAAAAATATATATTTAAACTTCGCCTGTTCATGAAGACGTCACATTGTTATCATGATGATTACAGTTCTTGGTGCATAGTTACAGTTCTTGATGTACATCCTGAGCCATAAACATCAGCACAAGTTAAACCGCGTCGGTGTTCGACTAAACTATTATTAATAAAGTTGGTTTGTTGGTTTATTGTTTAATGCCGCACTCAGCAATATTCCAGCTATATGTCGGCGGTCTGTAAATAATCGAGTCTGGACCAGACAATCCAGTGATTGATATCATGAGCATCGATCCACCCAATTGGGATACGATGACATGCATCAACCAAGTCAGCGAGCCTGACCACCCGATCCCGTTAGTCGCCTCTTACGACAAGCATAGTCACCTTTTACGGCAAGCATGGGTTGCTGAAGACCTATTCTATCCCGGATCTTCACGGGTCTTATTAATAAAGTCAAGAATTAATTATATCCAAGGAACCTATTCTTCACATCACAAGTATATAATAAACCGTTACCATGAGAACAAAGAGGCAGCACCACGACCACCAGGAGTTGAATCCGAATGCGCGTCATCGTGAAGGCCAGCAGTAGAGAACGTAGATACATGGCACTTGCTTTATATACTGGCTCCTTAACACTGTGTCATATTAAGCGGCCCTGTTGGCCGTATTGGACCCATAGTGGTGGCGCCATCTGGTGGGTATTGACCACTTCGGAATTGGGTAGTTAAGGACCCTTCAGTTCGATCACAACCGCGTAGGAGGGTTAGCATGTGTTAGTTAATGAGATGGGAAGTCAATATATGACCCATCTGGAACAAGGGAACGTTATGGGTGCAAGAATTTAATTGTGCTGTGACGTCATAAGACGTTTGACGTCAATTCACCTCAGTGAAGATCGCCATGTGTGCGTACTCTACAAAAATATCTTCTTTTTTTCTCGTGAGTTCGTAATGAATAAAGATATTATTTCAAAACCTTTCATCGTACATGTCTACTTCAATACATCAAACATTATGCCTAAAAACTGCAATTATTACAGAAACAGTTATAAGTCGGAAAATGAGTCAATATGTGTGATGCCACGTTTCTCCGTAATAAATATGAATTGAAGCTTGTAATATGTATTTTTGTGTTCCGAGGATGCTGTAGTTTTAAAATATAATGAACAGTAAAAATGCAATTTTTCACCCATTAGCCCCTTATCTTATGGTTGGTCACATATATCGTCACAGGATGCGAAATAATTTTGAGATATTTTTCTGTTGATACAGCGTCTGGAAGCATCAAACACAGTGGGTGGGTCAGTCTAGTTGTCAAGGCGTTTACTCGTCAGACCGAAGGCCTGGGTTCGATTCCACATGATGGTTACAATCAGAGATAGAATCAATATATTGTCACAAAATGTGACCGATATTTTGAAATTTAATGTTGATACAGTAACTGATTCCACGGGGCGGTGTGGTAGCCTTGTGGTCACACGTTCGTTCGTCAGACCTAAGGCCCGGGTTCGATTCCCACATGGTTACATAAAGCCAGTTTGGGTCTCTGTCGCGCGGTATTGCTTGAATATTGCTAAAAGCTGCAATACACCAAATTCACAGACCTACGTCAAATATTTAGCACCTTTATACCAAAATGTACAGCGTTTAAATTAACATGATGGCACGACGCTACCACACATCATGTCTTGCGGTCTTGTAGATGCCGGAGATACAGAATGGTTTAAGTAGATCGATATGACGAGTCCAACATTTTAGAAAATCTTTTCGAATATTTTTTAATATGTTGCTGAAAATGCTAAAAAATAATTAACTGCCGGGCAAAAGAAAGCATACACTTGGAAATTGAATTTGACCACAAAAAACCCAACCTTATGAAAACATTAAAACAGTGCACTTAAAACAGTATCAAATACATCGCCACCGAATAATGATCTCTTGTTTGTATCATTTTAAGCCATTATATAAGATGGGTGTATACTTTCTTATGTGCGGCAGTTATATACAGTCAAACACCGTTGTGTCGAACTCTGATATGTCGAGTAAAAGCATGGTCCCTGTGCATTACTAAACTAATCATCATTTTCGGTTGTGTCGAAACTCGGATAACTCGGAGTATTTATGGTGGTCCCTTCAACTTCGACACAACGGTGATTAACTGCAGCTGAAATGTTGCTGAGTGCCGTTAAACAACAAACAAACAGAACATAGCTCCTCTACAAAGCCTGGGTTACCGAAACATGATATATTTAGTTTGTCATTTCGTCGTAGATTTTTCAAACGGAGGTTCATAAGGTGAGCATAAATGGGGTTAAACGTCGCGTCCAAGATTGTTGCACTAGCGACGTGCATGCACGTTGGTGTGTGTGTGTGGCTGCTTGTACTAGTCCGGACTGATGCCGATTTATAGTGCTAGCACTCAAACACAGTATACTGACTCCGAGCCGACCAGTCCTTGTTTTAGCCCCTCAATGCCGAGCGCCAGACAGGGTAACTACAAGTACCATCTTTTAACGTCTTTTGGTATGACGCGGTCGGGGATCGAACTCCGGACCTTCCGCTCTCCGTGCGGACGCTCTACCATTAGACCACGGAGGCGGTCCGGAGGTTCATAAATACACAAACACTTTTCCTTTGAAACAAATTGCCCTCTTGCACCGGGTATGAACGCCATTCCGTCAGTACAGATGTACTTCCATCAAGCAACTGTCGCCACAGTTGATGACGTCAAAGGGAGGCTGCAGGTGTTACAGCATCTCCATCAAGGTCAAAGTTACCCTAACATCGTGTATCGATACATCACACCTCCCCGCAGCCGGTACGTGGAGAATAAACGCTGGTTAGCACGAAAATATAGCATATGAAAATGCTAAATACAAAATAATATCAGACCAAAATGTTCTTGACAGACATTTAGTTTGCTGGTCTTTGTAAAACGATAAAACATGATTTTCAGGAAATGTATTCTTCGGATTTGTATCGACAGTTGGCTGACCTTAACGAGCAGGAAGAGGCAACATGGAATTCTTGGCGCACCTGCTAACGACTGCACAGACATTAATAATAATAATAATAATAATAATAATAATAATAATAATAATAATAATAATAATAATAATAATAATGATAATAATAATAATAATTATTATTTAAAAAAAAACAATAAAAAAAACTTTTTTGAACAAATGTGTCTTTAGTTTTGCTTTGAATGTCTGAAATGAATATCTCAAGTGGAAGATCATTCCATTACTTTGGGGCAGTCACACTGAAAGTCCATGGCTGGAAAGTCTATACTGAGGAACAGATAGCAAGTGTTGATTTGCTGATGGAAGAGTTCTTGGTGGAACTCGTTCATTTATTGTTAATTTATACTATGTTTACCAAATATGGATCAGACATTTCTGTATAAGAAGATGTGACATAATTCTGGTATGCTAACGCGTGCATGTAGGCATAAAATTATATATGTCCTTAATATCTAACGTGCGGAAACATAAATTTGATGACGTGAGACCCCATAAGCATGGCTTTACACCGCTTTTAGCAATACTCCAATGACACATTGTACCATGTAGGAAATAAGTCTCGGACCTTCGGGGTGACGATCCAACGCTTTACCCGCTCGGCTACCTTGTCACCCTAAACTGTGTAAAATGTCTGCCTTCGTGTACGTAAACCGTGTGCGAAATACGCATCAGTCGGAAAGCGTACGTTAAATCTCCAAAGTAAGTAAGTAAGTAAGTGTACTTAAGTCTCTAGTGTATGTTATGTGCCATGATGTAGGATTGACTGCTGTTGTCTTGCGAAACACATACATCCAGCTATGATGATGCTCAGTGTAAACGTGCGTGTTTGCTGAATCACCTAGAATAAGGGTCCTGTATGAGCTGGAAATGTACATGGAACTAAACATTTACGACCACCATCATCACCATCATCATCATCCGCATCATCCCCATCATCATCATCATCATCATCGTCGTCATCGTCATCGTCGTCGTCGTCATCATCATCATCATCATCATCATCATCATCATCATCATCATCATCAGCAGCAGCAGCAGCATCAGCATCAGCATCATCATCATCCCCATCATCATCGTCACCACCATCATCATCTCCATCATCCGCATCATCACCATCATTATCCGCATCATCACCATCATCATCATCCGCATCATCATCATCATCATCATCCCCATCATCATCATCATCATCATCCCCATCATCATCATCATCATCATCATCATCATCATCCCCATCATCATCATCATCATCATCCCCATCATCATCATCATCATCACCATCCCCATCATCACCATCATCATCCGCATCATCACCATCATCATCATCCCCATCATCATCATCACCATCATCATCATCCGCATCATCATCATCATCCGCATCATCCCCATAATCATCATCACCATCATCATCATCATCCGCATCATCACCATCCCCATCATCACCATCATCATCATTCCCATCATCATCATCACCATCATCATCATCATCATCATTATGATGATGATCATCAGCATCAGCATCACCATCATCATCATCATCCGCATCATCATCATTATGATGATGATCAGCAGCAGCAGCATCACCATCACCACCATCATCATCATCATCATTCCCATCATCATCATCATCACCATCATCATCATCACCACCACCATCATTATCATCATCATCATCATAAAGGCGAACGGTCGCCAGTGGCCAGGCATCACTGTTCGTTGTGCAGAGTTGAGTCTCATGCGTGTAGCAGGATCCAACGATCGTGAGTTCGAATCCCAGGTTATCACGTGTTTGTCAGCACCGTACCCGTGCTCGTTGTTTCACCGACTCTGTAAAAGCCTAAACCCTCCTTCACTACGGGCGTAATCTAAAACGCCGTGATGGAACTTAATTCTGTTCGAAGTCGCGTTAAACCAAACTCACCCACTCACTGCTATTATGATGTTATTTATGTATAACAAACTTCAGTCTTCATGCAACATATATGATTTATTGAGACGAGTACATCTGGTATAGTGTACATGATAATGGTAGACAGTTGCTGATGCGGGCGCCGCAGAACAGTGTCGCATCTCAAGCTTCTTCTTAGACAGTGCGTGTCTGGCATCTGAAACAATGGAGGTATTGAGATGAGAACTTGTAGCTAACGGTAATATTCCAGACCACTAGGCGTGGTATAATATCATATGTTGGTTGTTAAAAAATATTCCAGGTACATGACGGATGTCTGTAAATAATCGAGTTTGGACCAGACAATCCAGTGATTGGCATCATGAGCATCGATGTTTGTTTGTTATTGTCTCTGTTGTTTAACGACGCACTCAGCAATATTCCAGCTACATGACGGCGGTTTGTAAATAATCGAGTCTGGACCAGACAATCCAGAGACTGACTTTATGAGCATCGATCGCAATTGGGATCGATGACATGCATCGACCAGTCACCGAGCCTGACCACCCGATCCCGTTAGTCGCCGCTTACGACAGGCATAGTCGCCTGTTACGACAAGCATGGGTTGCTGAAGACCCGGATCTTACGTTTAGCATTTCTATATTTGTGTGAGTGCCTGGTTCTCTCCGAATCCTTCAGTATAACATCCCCCATGTGGTTCCATTTCAATCAGGGAGCGGCGGGGTAGCCGAGTGGTAAAAGGCCCGGGTTCGACTCCCCACATGGGTACAAGGTGTGAAACCCATTCGTGTTCCCCGCAGGATATCGCTAAACGTTAGCTACAAGCGGCCTAAAACCATACTCACTCTCTCTAGTCAAACATGTCAAACGTGTTCATCTATGTAGTAGGGGCGGTCGGGTAGCCCAGTGGTTAAAGCGTTCGCTCGTCACGCCGAAGACCCGGGTTCGATTCCCGACATGGGTACCATGTGTGAAGCCCATTTCTGGTGTCCCCTGCCGTGATATTGCTGGAATATTGCTAATAGCGGCGTAAACCCGTACTCACTCACTCACTCATCTATGTAGTGGCGCTGACAGCGCTGTTTAGTTAATGAAAAGTAGAGTTACAGTTATCATGGTTGTCAAAACACAATGAAATCTCTTATCTAGTTAAAGCAAAATTACCAATAGATGCATTGACGAATGATTCACTGATGAGGAGAACTACACGAGACTCCATGTGGTACTGATTTTTCGAAACGAATCTCAGAACTTTTGACACATACTTCTAACTGAAATAAGTAGGACACACACACGAATGTGATAATCACTACACTTTCTACCATTTAAAAAAAGTAAAAGTGTTTCCTATCAGAAAACAGTTTAGAGAAGCCCACACTACCGTCACGAAATGTGTCTGCATTACGTCACAATTTACATTGCTTCAAGATATATTGTAAACTCGTGAAAACAAATGTTTGGTGTGAATTTTACTAACTCGCTTGGCACTTATATCTCGGTCGTCTATGGCGCCACTATTCATTGTGCAGATTTGCGCCCCTTAGGCGTGCCAGGAGCTATGATCGTGAGGTCGTATTCCTTATTCTTCCCGATTATGTTTCACTGCTTGTTGGTTTCACTTCTGGCTTTCCTCTCAGATTCAACTGACACGCCGAGATAAAACTGAGATGATGGTTAAAGCAGCGTCACCCACATCCACGTATGGACTCAATCACACGTATCACAACAAATCAATCTCATTAAAATCAGACCTTACCGCTAACCAAAGATCTGAGGACATCCCTTTACGGGTCACGTCAGAACGACCTTTCGCGAACATTGAGCGACCAATGAAATGACTGTCAAGAAATCGACATTAGCCAATCAGAAGGCAGCTTTCTCGAGCTTTACGACACTACGACAACGCTTCGAAACATATTTTGACGTAGTCTCGATTACAAAAGTTATAACTGACCAAACAACATTCTGGAATGGCTTATAGATGGCCTAGAATGTTTGGATATACTCATAAAACCCATAACAGTGGTTCGGAATACCCTCTGTTAAATATTTCGAGGTTGCATGATTAAAAACACATTTCGACTGTCACTTTGTGGATCTGGTAAGCGACGGTCTGATTGGTTTTATGAAAGGTCGTTCTGACGTGACCCGTAATGGGATGTCCTCAGATCTTTGTTAAGCGGAAGCGAGAATTAAGATTGATTTTAATGAGATTATACAACAAATATACTGTGAAATACTAACACAGGGTTTGTGCTGGGTTTATCGGAGTCATCCCTAACAATGAACTGGCTGACGAGAGCGAGCAACCCTTCCTTCCTGTTGTCATAGCTGTCGATGCTGCGACCGTTGACAGTGAGGTCGTCGGACTCACTGCCGTCACAGTTGCCACAGAGACCGCTGAGTTGGGTTTTGAAGGTCGCAGGGACAATGACCCTGGCTATATAGTCGCCATCAAACTTGACGACGATGTTGCAAGATGTGGTGACAACGTTGTAGAAACCGTCCTTCGTGATGTTGAAGCCATCGCTACTCAGACCAACATCAACACTTGCTCCGTTTACCTGAAAATGAAAATGAAGATGAAGATGAAGATGAAAATGAAGATGAAGATGAAGATGAAGATGAAAATGAAAATGAAGATGAAGATGAAAATGAAGATGAAGATGAAGATGAAAATGAAGATGAAGATGAAAATGAAAATGAAGATGAAGATGAAGATGAAGATGAAAATGAAGATGAAGATGAAGATGAAGATGAAAATGAAGATGAAGATGAAAATGAAGATGAAGATGAAAATGAAGATGAAGATGAAGATGAAGATGAAAATGAAGATGAAGATGAAGATGAAAATGAAGATGAAGATGAAAATGAAGATGAAGATGAAGATGAAGATGAAGATGAAAATGAAAATGAAAGCGGTCCGATAGCTGCTGTATTGAAAACCCGATTGAAATAGAAAATTCTCAACCCCTTTCTTTTTTCAAAGCCAAACTTAAGACATATAATTTCAATAAATACTTTTAACTGTCACAACCGCTCGTGTGCGCTTCGAGCAACCACATAGTGGATGGAAAACAGCGTCTAAGAAATGGACCTATTATTATTGTTGCTATTGTTGTTGTTTTACGTCACAGTCACCTACTGAGAAGGCTCCAAAACATGGGCGTCTGAGCCGGATATACAAACGGTTGATAGGATGAGTAGTACTCAATGGGCTGCAATGATAAACAATCAACTTGGCCACACACTGTGACCATTCGATCCGCTTACGACAAGCGTGAGGGCTGGGGACCTACCCTAACACAGTAGGGTGGGGGTGGGGAGGGGGTGCTTGTGGGGTGGGGTGTGGTGGTGGTGTACAAGTCAGTGTCTAAACGTGTGTTATGTTTATACACCAAATTATTTGTCAATTTAGAACGGATAATCACTTTACCTTTACACAAATATAATTACTTATAGAAACGTTATTTCACATTTATTTTCGACTACCGCCGCTAAGGTCTTAAACAGTGAACAAATAAGTGAAAACTCAATGTAACGGGTACGTCCAGCGCACCTTAGAGATGAATCAAGAACAGAGTAGTGTAGATGAAGAGTGAGTGAGTGAGTTGGGTTTAACGCCGCTTTTAACAGTATTCAAGTTATATCACGAGTGCCAGCTTAATGTGGGAGGAAAGTCCGAAGTGATGCAGGTCCCAGACATTTACCACTTCGATGAAACCCACGAGCACCGGTACGGTGCTGACAAACCTAGAAAAATAATCAGGGCGAACCGGGATTCGAACCCAGAATCATAGGTTTCTGGCGTACCCAAGGGACAGTGAATCGCGGCGCCTGAGACGACCAGGCCACCCGTGCCCCTTGTAGATGAAGAAATACCGGGATGAGTGAAAAACGAACTACAGAACTTCTAGCATGTCCAGTGAACGATCTACTGTGTGTAAAACGTGAGGAAATCCCCTTTTTTGCGAAATTATTGGAACGATATATGAAGTGGTCGCTCCCTTAACCTATGTTTCTTCACCATAGCACATAGAACATCAGTAGAAACTAACCATTTAAGTCCACTGGTCCTCATAATCATAACATAAAGGGGGCGGTCGGGTAGCCTAGTGGTTAAAACGTTCGCTCGTCACGCCGAAGACCCGGGTTCGATTACCGACATGGGTACAATGTGTGAAGCCGTGATATTGCTGGAATATTGCTAAAAGCGGCGTAAAACCATACTCACTCACTCACTCATAACAAAACCCTTGGTAATGGCAAATTTCTACTAGTTCTTATCATACCTTAACTATTGGGCAGTTTAGCTAGGATTACAGTACCAGTGCTAATTTCTAACGCTGTAGAACACATAGCACAGAACATAGAACACAGAAAATAGAACACAGAACAAGGAATAAAGAAAATATAACATGGAACACAAAACATAAAACAAAACATTAAACGTAGAAAACAACACAGAACAGAGAACATGAAATACAGAACATGGAACATCCTGTTCTCGCTACCCACCAGGATACGCTTCCCGTTCCCGAGTCTGATCCTGTCTTCTCCAAGCTTCACATCAACGAGTCTCGTGAAAGCACGTTCAGGGAACTTTGACCTTGGCCTCTTCTCGTTCTTCACCTCAACTCTCACGTTACATCCTGGCGCGTCCTTGACCTCCGCCATGACATACTTGCAGTCCTCAGACAGGGACAGGTGAGCACCGTCAAACGTCGTGTAGTGGGGGTCGCCCTTGGCCATGCACGAACAGGGAGCTGGGGACGACACAGGCATGTAAAGGCATAATACTCATCAAGAGGGGGGCACGGGTGGCCCAGTCGTCTAAGGCGCCGCGATTCGCTGTGCAGAGTTGCGTCCCTTGGGCACGCCAGAAACCTATGATTGTGGGTTCGAATCCCGGTTCGCCCCGATTATGTTTCTAGGTTTGTCAGCACCATACCCGTGCTCGTGGGTTTCACCGAAGTGGTAAACGTCTGAGACCTGCATCACTTCAGGCTTTCCCCCCACATTAAGCTGACACGCCGTGATATGACTGGAATAATGTTAAAAGCGGCGTTAAACCCAACTCACTCACTCACTCATCAAGAACGGTAGTAAACGAAAATATGCTGTTGTGCTGTCACGTTTTGAAGCTATATCTTCTAAGCAGTTTCTCCACGATCCTTCAAGAGGCAGACATAAACTACTCAGACATGAGTTCCTGAATGTGCCTATAAGCTTAATTTTCTTCACTAAAATATATACCAGTATTCACCGTTATTATTATTGGGTTAGTACAACCTGTTTATGAAACGACAATTCTTTAAAAATTTATGATACGTTGATATATAAAATGCCTTAACTTTTCTCACTGCATACTGTATCTGGAATATACTCTTTTCACTATATCAATGTACTGTTACTTTCAACCGGAGAGACCGCCTCCGTGGTCTAGTGGTAGAGCGTCCGCCCGGAGAGCAGAAGGTCCGGGGTTCGATCCCCGGCCGCGTCATACCAAAAGACGTTAAGGATGGTACTTGTTGTTACCCTGTCTGGCGCTCGGCATTAAGGGGCTAAAACAAGGACTCGTCGGCTCAGAGTCGGTATACTGTGTCTGAGTGGAGTATCCATGTTAAACTGCGGCATGGCATCTCAGTGTGATAGCACTATAAATCGGCATCAGTCTGGACTAGTACAAGCAGCCACACACACACGTCCATGCACGTCGCTATATAAGTGCAATAATCTTGGACGCGAGGTTAAACCCCTTTTTACCTCAGCTCACCTTCAACCGGAGGGCGAAGGAGTCTGAGACCATGTTTTAAGCATCTTATTGCTATTTAGCAGAAGATAAAAAAACTCCTTTTCCTAAATTTCAATTTTAAGCTCTTGTTACAACCAAACAATATTTGGGTCGTAACACGAGTTAAAGAAGAAGTGCCACCTTTATCTTTATTCCCAAATAGAAATGTACTGCTGTTAAAAGGTAATGGGGATTTGAGGTGTAAGATTGTTCCCCCAGTCCGCATCAGTAAACTGAGGGCAGCTGAAACTGTCTTATTTATGTAATTGAGAATTGAAAGAACTGTTGTTAAATATGATTCTGTCTATTTTGCCATCATTCATTCCTGCAACAGTTTGTAAAAAGCAATATGTGGCTGGGTAATTGTGTGTGAAAGGAAATTGGTTCAATGAAGACTGGAGTAAGAAATGAATTTGTAACCACATGGCCCTTACCATGTCTGAAATGTTGTAAATTTGTTCCGAAAAAAGAAAACTGCCAAATTAAGGTATCTAAGACACCACTCATCAGTTGTGTATAATGGAATTTTTTTTAAACTCTCTTAAATCAATTTTTTTATCAAAACTTACAACCATGTTGGAGTATTCTTTGAGTGCTGAGTGCGAGGCAGTACAGTTAATTGTTTGAGTGCTGAGTGTGAGGCAGTGCAGTTAATTGTTTGAGTGCTGAGTGTGAGGCAGTACAGTTAATTGTTTGAGTGCTGAGTGTGAGGCAGTACAGTTAATTGTTTGAGTGCTGAGTGTGAGGCAGTACAGTTTATCGTTTGAGTGCTGAGTGTGAGGCAGTGCAGTTAATTGTTTGAGTGCTGAGTGTGAGGCAGTACAGTTAATTGTTTGAATGCTAAGTGTGAGGCAGTACAGTTAATTGTTTGAGTGCTGAGTGTGAGGCAGTACAGTTAATTGTTTGAGTGCTGAGTCTGAGGCAGTACAGTTAATTGTTTGAGTGCTGAGTGTGAGGCAGTACAGGTAATTGTTTGAGTGCTGAGTGTGAGGCAGTACAGATAATTGTTTGAGTGCTGAGTGTGAGGCAGTACAGATAATTGTTTGAGTGCTGAGTGTGAGGCAGTACAGTTAATTGTTTGAGTGCTGAGTGTGAGGCAGTACAGTTAACTGTTTGAGTGCTGAGTGTGAGGCAGTACAGATAATTGTTTGAGTGCTGAGTGTGAGGCAGTACAGATAATTGTTTGAGTGCTGAGTGTGAGGCAGTACAGTTAATTGTTTGAGTGCTGAGTGTGAGGCAGTACAGTTAATTGTTTGAGTGCTGAGTGTGAGGCAGTACAGTTAATTGTTTGAGTGCTGAGTGTGAGGCAGTACAGTTAATTGTTTGAGTGCTGAGTGTGAGGCAGTACAGTTAATTGTTTGAGTGCTGAGTGTGAGGCAGTACAATTAATTGTTTGAGTGCTGAGTGTGAGGCAGTACAGTTAATTGTTTGAGTGCTGAGTGTGAGGCAGTACAGTTAATGTTTGAGTGCTGAGTGTGAGGCAGTACAGTCAATTGTTTGAGTGCTGAGTGTGAGGCAGTACAGTTAATTGTTTGAGTGCTGAGTGTGAGGCAGTACAGTTTATTGTTTGAGTGCTGAGTGTGAGGCAGTACAGTTTATTGTTTGAGTGTTGAGTGTGAGGCAGTACAGTTAATTGTTTGAGATATAATATTGCTGACTTCACGATAATCGATATTTTTCTATTAAAAATCAAAGATATGAGAAAACCAACCACTGAGACGTTTCTTTTGTCCCTCGATTTATATATTAATCATCCAAACCATCAAAATATAAAATGTCAAGTCGGACGAGGTAATAACCTACCTTGAACTTTGACTGGTTCCGGCTCTGGGCTGGACTCCGATACTGGGACCTCTTCTGGTGCGGCTTCTTCTGGAAGAGCTGGGACCTCTGATACCACAGCTACTGGAACCTCTTCAGGTGTGGCTTCTGGAAGAGCTGGGACCTCTGATACCACAGCTACTGGAACCTCTTCAGGTGCGGTTTCTTCTGGAAGAGCTGGGACCTCTGATACCACAGCTACTGGAACCTCTTCAGGTGCGGTTTCTGGAAGAGCTGGGACCTCTGATACCACAGCTACCGGAACCTCTTCAGGTGCGGTTTCTGGAAGAGCTGGGACTTCTGATACAACAGCTACTGGAACCTCTTCAGGTGCGGTTTCTGGAAGAGCAGGGACCTCTGATACCACAGCTATTGGCGCCTTTGTTTCTGGCGCGGCTGTTTCAGGGGCGACTGTTGGTATTTCAATACGTCTCGGTGGCTCAGGAGCTTCTGGGACCTGAGGAACCAATTTGTCAACGGGCACCTCCTCTACAGATTCAGGCTCGGGAGCTAGAGCTGGTTCTACAGATTTGACAGCTGGAACATTAACAACCTGCTCCACCTCCTCCACAACAGGAACCTCCTCGACGATGGGATCCTGGGGTACCTCAACTGGAACTTCTTGTACAACAGGCACTTCTTCAACAACACCATCTACAGTGACTGGTACCTCCTTGACGACTGGCTTCTCTTCCACAAGAGGTGGCTGTGGAACTTTAACTGGAACCTCCTTGATCACAGGCACTTCTTCAACAACTTCTTCTTGGGGCTCGGGAGGAAGGACTGGTACTTGGGACACCAACGCTACCTCAGGGACAGCAACCGGCTCGTCTACCACGTTCTCTCCTGTCTCAAATATGGGTTCAGCTGGCTTGGTTTCTGGCTTAGGAACTTCAACGGGCTCAGGGATCACTTGTGTTTCCTCTTCGACTTGCTGAGCAGGGGCTTCTGGCTGAACAGGGTCGACCTCTAGTTGTGGATCAGCTGGCACAGCTTCGGGTTCCAGTTCGACTTCCTGCACTGGAACTTCTGGGTCTACCTGGAGTTCTGGCTCTGTAGGCTCTTCTGCCGGCTCTTCCGGTTCTACTGGTTCTTCTGGGACAAGCTCTACAACGTTTTCAGGGATGATCTCATCTTCTACGTCAACCTTAGGGGGATCCACCACTGCCGGCTTTAGTTCCGGGGGCACCTCGGGGACTGCAAACAAACAAGATTATGGATCCACATGCCAATAATTTTTTTACTCAAAATACCGTTCTCGGTTCCGGTACCAGATTGGCTTTGATATTTACTGCTTCCGAGTTCTGGTAAATTGCAAAACAAGACGAATTTAAATAAATGAGGACACAATTCGACAGACACAGTTATCCTTATTCTCTCTTTCGAAGGATATTTTTACGTAGTGGTATGATTATATTAAAGTAACGGCTGGTCAATAGTGGTTATCTGCCTGTAAATGAATACATATATGAACATGAACTATTTGGCACTTAGTGGCTTACACTGTAGTGAGACACAGGAGGTGACGCCATCACCGCTGAAACCATTGAAGCATGCGCATTTCCTCTCTCCTTCAAACAGACCACACATGGCGTTAGATGCGCACTTCTGTCCCACCACGACGTCGACAAAGACGGGAAGACCACTGACCTTCTTGCACTCCCTCACTGTGCTGCAGTCGTCGGCAGACAACTTCGTGCCGATCTACAGGACAATAAGATAAAGGAGGTTCTACTACTTGTTTCTTTAGTGAGTGAGTGAGCGAGTGAGTGAGTTAATATTTAACGTCACATCGGCAGTATTTCAGCCATATCGTGACGATGTTTCTTTAGTGATTCAACACCGTGGTCTATCGCACTGAATGAAGACATGTTGGCATGGCTATCAACTTCTTCATTCTTTTAAAGCGGGGGCGGTGGTATAGCCTAGTGGTTAAAGCGTTCGCTCGTCACGCCGAAGACCCGGGTTCGATTCCCGACAAGGGTACAATGTGTGAAGCCCATTTCTGGTGTCCCCCGCCGTGATATTGCTTGAATATTACCACTCACTCACTTTTAAAGCGACGAGTCGGTACAGGTGCTGGAACCTTTTTCAAGCAAGTTCTTCAAACGCTTGAAAAAACGACCATCTCAAATCTGTAAGTCATGTCTGAATTCATTGCTTCTACTGAAGCACCTTCTAAATGCCACGTTATCACACTGACGGCAAACCCATGTGAGGCTCAAGCATTTCCCTCGTTATCGCTTAGGATACCAAGAGGTCTGGAACTTTTTTTCAATAAAATGACACCTCTACTCTCTTATATCTATAAATATATGACATGACAACATGAATGACAACGAACTATGGCCAACACGTGAAAAGGTATTTTTTTAGAACTACATACTCATAAGCAATTGTAAGCTGAATATAATGAGTGAGTGAGTGAGTGAGTTTGGTTTTACGCCGCTTTTAGCAATATTCCAGCAATATCACGGCGGGGGACACCAGAAATGGGCTTCACACATTGTACCCATGTCGGGAATCGAACCCGGGTCTTCGGCGTGACGAGCGAACGCTTTAACCACTGGGCTACCCGACCGCCCTAGCTGAATATAAAATCTCTGTGAGAAATTATGATAGATTACGTACAGGGAAATAGTCTCTGGTTTCGACACAGCCACAGTCTTCCTGCTTGACGCATTCTTCTCCGCTCAGTATGTATCCCGCCGCGCATTCACAACCTTCCCTTGGGTCAAGGTCACATAGTGCAGACGAAAGCGAGGCTCCACATTGTTGACGACATCCGGTTATTTCAGGATTATAGAAGCTGTTGGCTCCACAGTCCATGGCTACATAAAAAATTAGTGTTTGTTTAATAAAGTAGAAAAGGGCCGTATACAAGAGAGGGGCCATTTAAACTGGCAGAATCACGATTGGGTTTGGTTGGGCGTGAAGCTGTGAAAGGATCCATGAACGATGTATTTGAACAAATTATTTACGAGGATCTATTTACGAGTTTCTCATCGTCACATTAACGTTATATGACGTCAAGTTTTGAAACGAAAACGCCCTGCCGACGAAATTGTAGGTCTGATGACATTGTGTGCAATATGACGTCAGTTCTGTGACGTGAGACTGGCTGAATTCAGCCTGCTATCGAAAAGGGTATTCATCAAGATCAAAATCAGGAATATCTACATTGTGCATCGAATCAAAAGCGACTAAACACGGTAATGTCAACTGTATAGAGTTAGAGCTGTCGCAGAGTTAAATCACAATACCTTTTATGAATGAAGATAATATTTAGTTTGTTTTGTTTGTTTGCTGTTTAATGCCGCACTAAGCAATATTCCAGCTATATGACGGCGGTCTGTAAATAATCGAATCTGGACCAGACAATCCAGTGATTAACACCATGAGCACCATAACACCATCGAGATACGATGACATGCATCAACCAAGTCACCGAGCCTGACCACCCGATCCCGTTAGTCGCCTCTAACGACAAGCATAGTCGCCTTTTACGGCAAGCATTGGTTGCTGAAGACCTATTCTACCCCGGATCTTTACGGGTAGAAGAATACATTATAAAATAATATATGAAGTAACCTTACGGCACATATTGGCTGATCTCCACTTGACGTTGAAACCGCTCTCCTCACACTCGGAAGCGAATGCCTCGAGACTCTTACAGAGGGCACCTTTCATCTCGTCCTCATCGTCCTTGTGTAGACAGGCGTCGAATGTGCAGGCCTCGTAGTACTCCTGGACCTCCCCGCTGAGGGCGTTGATACACGCCGCGAACGGCCCACTCCTGTCCTTGATCATCCCACACTTGTCCGTGGCGTCCAGCTGGTTGATGACATCAGCACCGCAGTTGATGTCCGGCTCCACCACGCGGCAGCTGCAGGTACGTCATGAACTACATATTAATACACTGTGGGTACGTCATGAACTACATATTAATACACTGCGGGTACGTCATGAACTACATATTAATACACTGTGGGTATGTCATGAACTACATATTAATACACTGCGGGTACGTCATGAACTTCATATTAATACATCGCGGGTACGTCATGAACTTCATATTAATAAACCGTGGGTACGTCATGAGCTACATACTAATACACTATGGGTACGTCATGAACTTCATATTAATACACTGCGGGTACGTCATGAACTACACATAACCACACTGTAGGAACGTCATCAACTACACATTACCACGCTGCAGGAACGTCATCAACTACACATTACCACACCGCAGGAACGTCATCACATTGCTTTACTTGAGTAACGTCATCAATTATTGCAATACTGAAGTAACGTCACAAATTACACATTGCTTTACTACAGAAACGTTATCTCTTTTACTTTACAACGCAGTCGATGTGTCCACCGTCGGATTACCAAAGCGGCATTAAATCAATCCAACATCAAATACGTCATATATATGTTTGTTATCCCAAATGCCGACTTACTTGTCTGTGTTGTCGGGCTTGTCGGAGTTGTCGAACACTAGGTAGCTGTTGCCGATCTGGGAGAACTTGGTGTCGAGCGTGCTGACGTCTGTACCATTACTCAACCGGAAGTCGTCCTCGATTCCGTTACAGTCTCCACAGAGACCGGTCATGCGCGTAGCATATCTCTTTGGGACCTTGACCTTTACAAGGTGAAGGCCGTCGAAAGCGACCTCTATCCCGCACATCGTAGTGACCTGAACAAACTGGCCGTTGATCGTGACTGACAGCTTGCCGTTTGCCCCAATAAATGGCGGGTACTTCCGGAGACCGTTAACCTGTGGAATCAGAGAGGCAGCAAAATGTATGTTTTGACCTACAGTAAACTACGGTTATAACGAACACGCTTATAACGAACTAACGGATATAACGAACTAACTTTTTAGTCCCGATTATATGCTGTAGTTATGCTGTATATATGCTTATAACGAATTACGGTTATAACGAATTAAAATTAGTAGTCCCTTTGAGTTTGTTATAACCGTAGTTTACTGTGTATAACTTTGATCAGACAACATCCTGGTTTTTATATGTATGTTGTAACCACACATTCATTGATTTAAATTTGAGCAAGATATATATTTTTTTAAAACCACCCTCATGCATTATTAGCATTTGCCATTGTATGGTTATGTTGTTTCACCGTTTATGCCTTCCCTGATATTTGAATTGAGTTGTGTTTAACGCCATTTTGAACGGTTGTTCAGTGACAGCATGACTAGCAGCTTGATGTTCGTAAAGATCCAAACATACAGAGGCCGCATGGTGCTTGCGGACTGAAAGTTGACCAAACAAGAAGCAGATCCTGGCACAGATAAGGCCACTAATTACGAGCTTCAGATCAATAGGTCATCTAGTCCAACACAGTTGTACCTGAGCGTGATTCACTTACATAAACCTTCCTCCTGAGAGCCAATCTGACAGTAAGGCCGTAGATGCTGAAGTCGATCAGCCTCGCCCATGAAACCATTGTTTTTCCATCTCTGACCTCGTTCTTGATTTCCACGTTGAAAGCGCAAGGGTCTGATTGGTCAATGGACTTGGACAGCGTGTACATGCACTCTCCCATGAAGTTAATCATCTGACCGTCGAACGTCCGGTAGTGAGGGTCCCCGTTCACCTTACACCGGCAGAAGTCTGGGACAAACAGAAGGTACTGGACAAACCAGCTAGGGCATACATGGCTACGGCTACTAAAACGGAGTTTCAAAATACTTCAAGATCATGGTTTGCCTTGCAAAGCGCCATATGCGTTGTTTCTGTTTTTCGACAATATTCCCGCAAAATCACGACGGGTGAAGAATGGGCTTGTCCCCTTCATGGTTAAAGTTCATGTATATATAATTTCACCTGATAGACTCCGAGTGGGTAAAATACGCTCGATTCCTTACATAGAGCTTTTTCAAGGTTACCTCGGCAGGGCTATAGCCGGATAAGTACTTTTCCACTCACTCGTTCTCCCGCTCGGCTGCCCCCCAAAATACCCACCACCCAGACTATCCACCCAGACCATCCATCCACACCAGCCACCAGACCATCCGCCCGCACCACTCACAAGACCATCCGTGAAGACCATCCACCCAGACCATCCACCCACACCACTCACCCGCACCACTCTCAAGACCATCCGCCCAGACCATCAACCCACACCACCCGACCACACCACTCATAAGACCATCCGCCCAGACCATCCACCCACACCACTTACCCACACCACTCACAAGACCATCCGTCCAGATCATCCACCCACACCACCCACCCACACCACTCACAAGACCATCCGTCCAGATCATCCACCCACACCACTCACCCACACCACTCACAAGACCATCCACCCAGCCCAAACACAGCACCAGTACATCCACTCACACAGTCACTCACTCCTTATTCGTTTTGAGACATTTGAATCTCACCTTCGTCAGCTGCTACCACGTCTCCTGTTTGAGGTAGCTCTGGAACAACAAGAACACCAACATCGTCACAATAGCAATACAGTAAACTACGGTTATAACGAACACGCTTATAACGAACTGACGGATGTAACGAATTTATTTTTTGGTCCCGGCCATTGCTGTATATATGCTGTATATATGCTTATAACGAACTACGGTTATGAGGAACTAAAATTAGCAGTCCCTTTGAGTTCGTTTTAACCGTAGTTTACTGTACTTTCTCTAGGTGTAGTTCTTTAACGTAAAAGAATGGGACACCTCTGTCTGTATCCCCACCTTTGTCTCTCATAACGGGAACAAAGCATAGACACCTGGTTCCATGGAGTGGATGTTTGTTACATCATAGCATCATCATATGGTGAGATCAAATGGGGTTTAACGTCGCGTCCACGATTATGGCACTTATATAGCGCCCTGCATGCACGTGTGTGTGTGTGTGTGGCTGCTTGTACTGGTCCGGACTGATGCCGATTTATAGTGCTAGCACACTGAGATATCATGCCGCAGTTTAACATGAATACCCCACTCAGACACAGTATACTGACTCCAAGCCGACCAGTCCTTGTTTTAGCCCTTTAATGCCGAGCGCCAGACAGGGTAACAACAAGTGCCATCTTTTTACGTCTTTTGTGTGACGCGGCCGGGGATAGAACCCCGGATCTTCCACTCTCCGGGCGGACGCTCTACCACTAGACCACGAAAGCGGTCCTCATCAAATAGGAGATACTAGCTGACACACTGGATGAAAAATATTGCATGGTATTTGTAATAATATGCACATGCGTCTGTGGGGGACAGCGTGGGGAACAAATCACCAGGTTTACACTATACCTTCAACAGCAACGTTTCCCTCGCCTCCGATGTTGGGTGTTGGGGGGGTCAAGCTACCTTTTACACTAGAACCTGGGACGACCAATCCTACACCACCAGTATGTACCGTCTTCCGAGACTTCCCGTGAGACTTCTTATGAGACTTCCCATGTGACTTCTTATGAGACTTCCCGCGTGACTTTCCATGAGACTTCTTATGGGACTTCCCGTGAGACTTCCCACGTGACTTCCCATGAGACTTCTTATGGGTCTTCCCGTGTGACCTCCCGTGAGACTTCCCGTGAGACTTCTCGTGACTGTGTTTGAGGAGGCTGATGACCTTGGATGCGCCCTTCACGGCGACAGCTCCGACATTTTTGACAACACTGTGCGTCTTGGACAGAGCTTTGTGGACAATGGAAACCGCTCCCCGGACCTCTCCCATTTTAGCGGACACTACCTTCTTAACAACTGACCCGGCACCGTGGACGAGCTTCTTTACGCCTGTTCTGACACTGCCCGCATGGATGACGCTGTGGGCTTTAGACCCGATCTTCCTCCCGATGCTATGGATGCCTCTCCCCGCGCTCTTCACGCGAGACACCACCTGTACAACAGAGGAGACATGTAGATAGGATCCGGGTTAGAATAGATCTTCAGCAATCCATGCTTGCCGTAAAAGGCGACTATGCTTGTCGTAAAAGGTGACTAACGGGATCGGGTGGTCAGGCTCGCTGACTTGGTTGATGCATGTCATCGATCCCAGTTGCGTGGATCGATGCTCATGATATTGATCACTGGATTGTCTGGTCCAGACTCGATTATTTACAGACCGCCGTCATATAGCTAGAATATTGCTGAGTGCGGCGTTAAACAACAAACCAACCAACCAACATGTAGATAGGGTAATACTTTCACGCATGGCCTACCAATATTCCAACAGATTTCATTCCCAACAGCGTCCAATGCTTCACGCCATAGAGCTGTACATGTAAAGGGCGTCTAGATACGCTAGTTGTACCATGACGTTGAAGCTAATTGCATAAACAACGTCGGGTTGAAACCGCTCGGTATGTGCAAATAAATGTTCCAAATTTGGGAAGGTTTATATATCTGGCAAATATTCATAGTAACAAAGGGACGGTTGTTCTAATTATTAATTGATTTAATTTTATCATCCAAAACTGGCTCCCACAGGAGATATCACTTGGATTAGATCAAGCGATATCTACAATGAAGATATCGCTGCAATGAAATTACATCACAATGCTTTGCAGACCAATGTAGGCAAGCCTCGGAATTTTTCCACTTTTATCAACTCGTGTTGATATATTTGATATCAAAAGACACGAGGGTGAGATTCTCTATATCTCACCTACTTTTTCAACCGTAAGGAAATTAATATGCTTACATATATTTTTTTAGATAACTGTTTTCAGTCAGAAGGACATACTGTCTTTCTCTATGAAAGGGTGAGGTGAAATTTGGTTTAACGTCGCGTCCAAGATTAGTGCACTTATATAGCGACGTACATGCACGTGTGTGTATGGCTGCTTGTACTAGTCCAGACCGATGCTGATTAATAGTACTAGCACACTGAGATATCAGGCCCCAGTTTAAGATGAATACCCCACTCAGACACAGTATACTGACTCCGAGCCGACCAGCCCTTGTTTTAGCCCCTTAATGTCGAGTGCCAGACAGGGTAACAACAAATACCATCTTTTTACGTCTTTTGGTATGACGCGGCCGGGGATCGAACCCCGGACCTTCCGCTCTCCGGGTGGACGCTCTACCACTAGGCCACGGAGGAGCTAAAGAATTTCTGTGGGACACACAAGACATCCGGATATTCCCACATACCCGACACACACATGAGCACGGGCATGGTGCTGGCAAACCTAGAAACATAATCGGGGCGAACCCATCTTCCCGAGGCAAGAGAGTTAACTGACTACAAAAGTCCAGTTTCCACCCTAGCCGAACTAGGCTGGTATTATGGAGTTACATTTTGGCTGGACTAACGAGTCTATGCATATTCCAATCAAAATCCCGCGTCGAAATCGAAATCTGTCGTGCAGATTTCGGTCGATTGCAAGGTTTGCAAAGCATATGCATCGCCAACTCGTTGTCAGCAGATATTTTCCAAATCTGTTCATGTTTTTAATCAAGGTGCTCACGTGATTTGATGCACTTCGCGATGTAAGACCCGTTTTATCACAATATAGATCTTGTTAATGGATCAAGATCGTCTGACTGGGCGCCACCATTTTGTGCGAAGCAAACGCAAGTGATACAAGAGGTGGAATCTGATTGGTCCATAGGAGAGGCTTAGAAGGGACATAACTGGTAATAGCCACTGGTGCCGCTACGATCGAACCCAGTAATTCCAGCCTAGTTCAAGAAGGGTGGAAACTGGACTTTTAAAGCCAGTTAACTCTCTTGCCTCGGGAAGATGCACATACCCGACACACACACACACACACCAGGCCATCATTCTAAAATTACAGCGGGACGACGTTAGTACGTTGTGGCAAACGAGTGTTGGCGATCTTGGACGATAGGGCACTGTTGCACCTGAGAGTTGGCGTGGCATGGCCACAGCGACATAAACATGCTCTTCTCCCTCTTACCTTCTGAGCAAATGACCTGACGTTGTGGCCGGTGCTCTTGACCTTTGACCCGACTTTCCTGGCAAATGATTTGGCTCCGCTGACGACACTCCTGACTCCTGACCTGATCTTATGGAGCTTGTTGGAGCCTCTGAAGAAACTAACGACCTTGGAGTGAGCGCTCCTGGCAACGGAGCCGACTTTCCTGGCAGCGTGTCTCACACCAGAGCCCACCTTCCTGCCAGCGTGTCTCACACCAGAGCCGACCTTACGTGCAGCTTTCTTAATACCTCTGCCAATCTTCCCCAAGAGTCCCCCTGGCAATTTACAATAAAAACAGGACGTTAAAGGATGGTACTTGTTGTTACCCTGGCTGGTGCTCGGTACTACCTGCATTAGAACCAGCTACCACACACACATGGTTCTTTATGTTTGTTGTTTAACACCGCACTCAGCAATATTCCAGCTATATAACGGCGGTCTGTAAATATAATCGAGTCTGCTAGTTAGGTGTAGAAAAACCCAGTGACAGTGACAATAGCATGATAAGGTAAGCCACGTGGTGGGATTAAACAGCCCTTGGAGTGAAGGGTCGATGACTGCCTTTACGAATAAATATTTTGAAAGTATTGAACAGCACTTAATATTCTTGTGTCTGATTTAGCTGTATCTAGCCTTATTGGTGTATGTATTCAAGGTACCAGTGGTGTATATTGCGTGGTATTTGTGAGCTACGTGTATATCGTTAGGAGAGAGAGAGAATATTTTATAAGAAGATGTCGAGTGCAAATAACATAAACATACTGCATCAAAAAAACAAAAAAAAACAATTATCATCGGTATTGCACCCAGCCTTTACAGGCTTATGAGACATCGTATGTACATTAAAACATGCATAAAAGTATCCAAGTAAAACATTGTAAGCTTTTTTCTTACATTGTACCATCATCTTTTCTTATTCCAGCAGCCAAGGAAATGTCAATTTTGTTGAACACCATATTTTAACGTTATATGTGCATATTAAGATCGCAATATATATGTATATCGTTAGGTCTTTGAAACACAACGTTTCGGAGTATATGCTTACTCCTTCATCAGGTGAATGAATGCCATCAGCGCTAGTTACTGTAAAGTGTTGGCGTCCATTGTCTATTGCTAATCACCTATCAGCGCCAATCATCTGTCGGCTTCCTTTGTTAGCTTGTACCCTTTGATAGTTTCCACCTTTCGTTATCTTATTAATTTTGTTGTCCTTACATGTACATAAATGCTCTCTGCCTCATGGCATTCATTCACCTGATGAAGGAGAAAGCATATACTCCGAAACGTTGTGTTCCTCATAATAAAGAAGTTGACATCCATAAATTCTCTTCCTTTGTATATTTTTAGTTAAGAACTTACATCTCTTCTTTCGAAGCAACAGGTCCAATGGCTTTCTTTCTGCAAGAATATACTGACGTTGAAATCACTATATCAAAAACATACACGTGATAAGAAACGAAACAAATCCTTGTAAATAATTCTTCTAGAGATGATGATATTCGGTGTTCCACATGTTGCTATGAATCGAGAAGTAAATTGGAAATATCTCCTGTAACTAAATTACAGACACGTGAAACCCCGAAATTCTAGACCTCGGTTATCCGGACACCCCATGCTCCAGATGACCTCTGTAAGGCCCACATTATACCTGTTGGGTTTAAGTACCAGTGGACCTTAAAATTCGAAAATTAAAAAAGATATATAATCAAAACGACAACCGTCGATGGCAAAAGTTGCTTTGACAATAAAAACAATTCAAGTGATAACTCGTCATCACAATCCACTATGAAGGCCACTGTTTCTACAAACCTCTATCAGGTTTCAAATACATAATATTTATAAGGACCCATGACCAGGGCCCACTTGCACAAAGCGATCTTAGCGCTAAGACGATCTTAACTCCCATACTTTAGCATAGGCTTACAATAGTCTTAGCGCTAAGAACGCTTTGTGCAAGTGGGCCCAGGACAACATCTATAATTTTTTATTCACCAATCCAAAATAAACTTTAAGATGATTAAAAACATCTCGTACATTGCATTTTGTTATTTACTTTTTCGACCTACAGACCAAAGGTTTCACTATCAAAATCGTAGACCCCAAAACGTCTTCTACTTGTAACTTTATTGGGAAGGTCTACGGATATATACTCATCCCCAAAAGAAACGCGAACGATAGACACACATAGAGAGAAGTATTTACATTAAGAAGAGATGTTTCCAACGTGTTCCAATTAATGACAAAACTGACAATCTGTATAGAGTGGCAGGGCTGTCGTCGGTCATTCCTGACAGTGAAACAGTCATGTAGTCATAATATAATAACGGTTTAAAGTCGTTCAGATTTGGTATCGTGTAGAAATTTGGATGTTTTACCTTCAGAGTTCGCTTGGCCGTTGATAGCTGCAAAAATGAACAGATATAGATTGCATATGAACTGTCACGAATATGACTTGTCACGAATAAGGTTGTAACGAATATGACTTGTCACGAATATGGCTTGTCACGAATATGACTTGTCACGAATAAGGTTGTCACGAATATGAGTTGTCACGAATAAGGTTGTCACGAATAAGGTTGTCACGAATATGACTTGTCACGAATATGGCTTGTCACGAATATGACTTGTCACGAATAAGGTTGTCACGAATATGACGTGTCACGAATATAAGCTGTCGCGAATATGACGTGTCACGAATATGACTTGTCACGAATATGACTAGACGAATATGACTTGTCACGAATGCGACTTGTCACGAATATGAGTTGTCACGAATATGACTTGTCACGAATATGACGTGTCACGAATATGACTTGTCACGAATACGACTTGTCACGAATATGACGTGTCACGAATATGACTTGTCACGAATACGACTTGTCACGAATTTGACTTGTCACGAATATGAATGTCACGAATATGAGTTGTCACGAATATGAGCTGTACCCAGGGGTTTCCCCAGGAATGTGGAAGTAGTCCGTCAGTGTTTACGTCCTTTCAAGAATACGGTCTCGTGAAAAACGTATTAACGTCAACGTCCCTTTCAAGAATACGGTCTCGTGAAAAACGTATTAACGTCAAATTCATTCACTAATGAGCGTCAATTTCGCGGTAACCTCTTGTCCAATGAAAAATCTGTATATCGTATAAACTTCACATTAAAAAAATATTCAACGATGCAACCATCTCCAGATTTAAAAACAGAAAAGACATGTCTCCTTTCTGCCATGATTAAAAGGCGCAGCGGTGCGGTCAGATTGGTCATCGCTCATTAAGTAAAATAATCCATCCTCCAATAATCATAGTGGAATCTACATACCTCTTTTTGTTCGAAATAATTCCGATGGATTGTAAACAGCGTTGTTCACTGAAACAGGGAGAATAAAGGTCAACACATTTGCCTTCAGTAATATTTGTAACTGATGTTGTGGTCTGTTATTGGATTTTCAAAAAAACAAACGCTATGGTTTTTACCCCCTTGACTGTACAGTGCATGATGTAGCCATTATATTGTGATTTGTAACCTTAACCCATCTTATAAACCTATTCATTGGGATCGCTATTAAGTAAGAGACTTCTTTCTATAGACATTAAAACCTATTGTGATGTTTTACTTTCCAGTCGGGTTAAATCTCATAAACAGGGACGTTGTAATGTCCCTGGGATTTTATTAATATAACTTCCGTTCAGATTGTAACATGTAATGAAATATAAAATCAAATGACAAATGTTTTCTTCATATTCCCGAGGATCGAACTCGCAACTTTCATATCTGTAGCCCAGTGAGTGTACCACGAGGCTACAGAGGTGTTGATAAGCTTCAAGGGTTTTTAGAATGTCCTTTTTAAGATCCGTACGCCAGCAACAGATATTTTACGCGCGTTTCCTAAGGTTCATGGAAAGTATGTTCGAAACATAAAAATGTTGATAAATGTTGTTTTAAGTTTCTTTTTGTCGGTTTATAAGCATGAAAAACACTTTCCCTCGGTTTTGGTAGACAGAGCATGCCCCCTTGGTTTTTCCCTCTCCCCAGGGCATGCTCTGTCTACCAAAACCTCGTGAGCGTGTTTTCTCCAATACATACAAACCAGTTCTTTCAAATTTCAAAGAACCATGATATTACTCGTCCAGTGCTAGTTACCTTTGAGAGCTGTTCGGAGGCGCTCGTCCACGTCAACTTTCCTCTTGTTCCTACCAACGGCTAAAAGTTAAATAAATATAAAATCAAGTAAGTTGATGAATTGCCCATATCAATTATTGTTTGTTTGTTTGTTTGTTTATTTGTTTGCTGTTTAATGTCGCACTCAGCAATATCCCAGCTCTATGGCAATGTGAAAACAATCGAATCTGGATCAAACAATCCACTGATCAATATAGTGAGCAACGATCCAAGAAAACCAAGTCACCGAGCCTGACCACCCGATCCATTGGGTCACCTCTCACGTCCAACAAAGATGGGGACAAATGACAGATAATAATTTAATCGCATCCTTACATATATCTATTTATCTATGATATTGACATTAGGAAAGAAACTGTATAGTGAGTGAGTGAGTGAGTGAGTTGGGTTTAACGCCACTTTTAACAGTATTCCAGTTATATCGCGGCGTGTCAGCTTAATTTTTGGAGGAAAGCCCGAAGTGATGCAGGTCTCAGACGTTTACCACTTCGGTGAAACCCACGAGCACGGGTATGGTGCTGACTAACCTAGAAACATAATCGGGGCGAACCGGGATTCGAACCCACAATCATAGGTTTCTGGCGTGCCCAAGGGACGCAACTCTGCACAGCGAATCGCGGCGCCTTAGACGACTGGGCCTACCGTGCCCCCCAAACTGTATAGATGTCAACTTCTTTATTATGAGGAACACACCGTTGCGGAGTTTATGCTCACTCCTTCATTCGCCTGATGAAGGAGTCAGCACATACTCCGAAACGTTCCTCATAATAAAGAAGTTGACATCCATAAATAATCTTCCTTATGTGTATCACTTCTAAATGCCTTTCAAGACTTGATATTGACATTAATTATTTATTTCAGATTATCATGAATATTATGAACAAATACTAACTTCAAACAAATATCGATTCACATTTCTTTTTAAAAAATGTATTTTCAGATAGAAGTACGAAGAGCCCATATTTTACTCTTAATTTTCTTGATAATTAACACTTTTCCGCTATATACATTTTTGTTTCAAGGAAATATGTTCAAACATGAATACCATTCCAAAATAATGCAGCAATATCTAACAAACATTTGAAAAGTAAATTTCGAAACTGACTAACGAATGACTACGTGGCATGATATCACTTGGTTTGAAACTATGGTGTGTCATTAAAAAGTAAATAACTTCTTTGAGACGCATTTAGAAGTTGGAGTACTAAGTAAGGATAAGATATATGGATGAACAACTTCTTTATTACAACCAGGAGCGACGCTTTGGTGTAGTGAGTGAGTTGGGTTTCACGCCGCTTTTCACAGTATTACATTTATATCACGGCGTGTCAGCTTAATGTGGGAGGAAAGCCCGAAGTGATGCAGGCCTCGGACGTTTACCACTTCGGTGAAACCCACGAGCACGGGTATGGTGCTGACAAACCTAGAAACATAATCAGGGCGAACCGGGATTAGAACCCAATCATAGGTATCATAGGTATCTGGCGAGCCCAAGGGACGCAACTCTGCACAGCGAATCGCGGCGACTCAGACGACTGGGCCACCTGTGCCCCCACGTTTCAATGTAGGTTCTAAAACAGTTATCAAGCAACGTCGTTCCTAATTATAATAAAGAAATTGTTCATCCATATATCGTATCCTTACTTAGTACTCCAACTTCTAAATGCCCCTTAAAGAAGTTAATATTCCTAAAAAGTAAATAATTATCATCAGAATAAACATCTGTTTATATATAAGAAATTATCAAACACAAATGAGGACTCACCGGCTCCGGCAGCCAGGCCAAGCACCAGGGCAGCAACAAACAGCACCGCAGTCCTCATGGTGGTCGCAGACGATGTTCCCACCACACTTCATAAAACACCCTTTATACCCCCGCCCCTCCATCGGGTCTTTCCGCTCCCGATCGGTACACTCCGGAAATTACAAGTCACATATGTCGGAAACATCAAAGCCGTTGCGGTTCTGCGCGTGTGTTAGTGAATGAGTTTCGTGAAATCGTTAATCTACAGAGGTACTTCCTGTATGTTTTGCACACGGTCGATTGCCGAATATTAGAATACAGGGGAAACAAACAGCGCATGTCCGGGTTAATTAAGCGATAGAGGATATTTCAAGTGTCGAGTTTAGTATCATGTTACTCTCATCGAATGGCGAGGGAAAGGAGATATTTTCACGAGAGACGTAGCCACAAGTGAAAATATCTTCTTTCACCCGTCACGAGATGAGAGAAACATGATATTTGACTCGACACCTGAAATATCCTATCTATTATATACATTTTGTGTAGTTGTCTATCGGAAAACTTAATTATTTCATTGCAAATGTTAAATCTTGAAACGTAAATTCTCCCTACCTAACACGCAGGGACGTTTTACCACCCATTGTAATTCCGACTTAAAATGTAGTTTCGTGTTTGTCATATCTTAAAACATATGAACAAAATTAACAAAAAATATTTAGGTTCACGGAAATTCATTGCCATACATTTGGATATAATTATATACAAAATCAAATTTGTTAACACATTTTCTTGGGTACAATGTGTGAAGCCCATTTCTGGTGTCCCCCGCCGTGATATTGCTGGGATATTGCTAAAAGCGGCGTAAAACCATACTCAGTCAGACAGTCAGTTAGTGAAATCTATGAGACAGCTGTTGGAAGCGAAAGAATACACTGGCGCTTTGCTAAACGACCAGTCTGGATTGACGAGTTACGTGAGAAATTTACAGTTTTTAACGAAACATTTTCAAGAGAATAACAAACGGCAAGAAGCTACATTAACTCCAGAAGCGACAATAACTCCAGAAATAACGGGGCGGTCGGATAGCCTAGTGGTTAAAGCGTTCGCTCGTCACGCCGAAGACCCGGGTTCGATTCCCGACAAGGGTACAATGTGTCAAGCCCATTTCTAGTGTCCCCGCCTTGATATTGCTGGAATATTGCTAAAAGGGGCGTAAAACCATATTCACTCACTCACTCCAGAAATGGCCATCTGTCATTATTTTGCCATGTCAAGTGGAACAAACGTAAAATGGACGAAAACAGTTTGTTTACGGGGTAGACATTTGCGATAAAGAAAGACATTTTGCGGGGAGGTAACTCTTGTATCACAATAGTTCCATACAAGTGTTATATTCACTGCAGTAAAATATAAAGTGTTATGTTCACTGCAACGGAAATATACAACGTCTTTCACACTGAAGTATATAATAAATGATTATATTAATGTTTGAGTGAGTTTGTCAATGTATAACCCTTTAAATTTAAATGCTGCGTATGCCTAGTACATTTTAATGGTCAATAAAGTTCAAAATTTACATTGGTAAACAGCAGTATCAAGCGATCTTTGTCCGCTTGTGTTGCCTTTTTGTATACTTTTCAGCCGAGACTTAAAACAACGCCAGTGTAGATTTGGGTGAAGTTAACATCGTCCATATCACACTCTTGGTTTTACGCCGAAGACCCTGGTTCGATTCCCGACATGGGTACAATGTGTGAAGCCCATTTCTGGTGTCCCCCGCCGTGATATTGCTGGAATATTGCTAAAAGAGGCGTAAAACTATACTCAATCACTCACTGTTGGTTTGAGTTTTGTTCGTTTGTTTTCTGGACCAGACAATCCAGTGATTGACATCATGAGCATCGATCCACGAAATTGGGACACGATGCCATGCATCAACCAAGTCAGCGAGCCTGACCACCCGATCCCGTTAGTCGACTCTTACGACAAGCATAGTCGCCTTTAACGGCAAGCATGGGTTGCTGAAGACCTATTCTACCCTATTCTTTATCATGATCTTCACGGGTCCGTTCGCTAATCACCGTATCCCCGTGATGTCCTAAAGTGACCGGTACATTATTGTGAAATGAGCGTGTGCTGTCCATTCGGGACCAACTCGTGTTATTCCGGGACAAACCGAATAGCGACTCGTGCCCCTCACGTGGCCATTTTTGCGACCGGGTTCCGTCTTAACGCACCCGGGCATACCTAAAACAATGGTCAACTCGTTGCGTAATGGTTCACATATATTTTCCCATATATTATATATATATTTCAGATGCAATTTAAAGCACATCGGGACGTGCGGAATTATACAGTTTGATTGAACACATTTAACTGTGTCTTGGGTATATTATTAGATGCAGGACATATGTAAAATCAAAAATTATTTCTGAGGGATTCTTTGATGAAGAACTTGAAATCATACGCGCATTCTGGTTGGTTTGTCGTATTTTCGCACATAACATTCATCGATAGGGGAACGAGTCTTCTTGCAGGTGACGGAAAGGGGCGAGTGGTGACGAATGAAACCGAATAGCGGGTTACGGAAAGGGGCGAGTGGGGACGAATGGTGTGCCGCCATGTTATTGGTTGAAGAACGGCGTCAGATGGGCTATTGCATCCGGCAAACCTTTTCACTGTGTGGGAATATTTTTCCTTATATGTATTTATTTTTTAAATTTATAACAAATACGCATAATTCGGTATGAATAAAACGTCATTTTGATATTAAAATTGATCAAGACTTTGTCAGAACCCCTGGGTGTGAGGTAGGAAGAATTTACGTTTCAAGGTTTTACATTTCCAATAAAATACTTTAATTGTCCGGAGATATACCCAAAACATTTGGGTGAGATTTTTTTCCTTACAAGTATCTATTTCTTTTAATCTCAAACTTGTAACAAATATACACATTTCGGCATTGATAGAAGGTCATTTTGATCTTAAAGTTGATCAATACTATTTCTGAAGAACATAATTCGGCAGGCAGGTTCTGTCATCACGGAAGATGTAGAAATGATACAATCGCAATCTCATTAAAATCAGACCTCAGTTCTCGCTACCGCTAAACAAAGATCTGAGGACATCCCATTAGGGGTCACGTCAGAACGACCTTTTATCCGACTGATTTCTAATCATCCAACCTCGAAAACTTCAACACAGGGTATTCCGAACGATAGTTACGGGTTTAACGACCGAATCTATACAATCTAGACCATCTATTAGCCATTCCAGAATGTTCTTTTGTTCAGGTTTCAAATTTGTGGATTTGTCAAAATATGTTTCGAAGCGTAGTTGCCAATTTGAAATTAGTGCCGTAAAGCACGAGAAAGCTGCCTTCTGATTGATCATTTCATTGGTCGGTCAAAGTTCGCGCAAGGTCGTTCTGACGTGACCCGTAATGGGTTGTCCTCAGATCTTTGTTTAGCGGTAGCGAGAACTAAGATCTGATTTTAATGAGATTGATACAATCGTCGACATGTGACAATAAATAAATTGTAGGTGATTCATGGCATTTTATGGGCTTACCAAGAAATATTTTTTGAGTTTGATGTTCGCATAAACCGAAAAAATACCGACTCCACCCACTAACGGACTATTGTTTCCTGATTGGGTGGTGCAAGGCTTAAGTTTCATTATTGTGCTGAATGACGTCATTGACCGTGCTGTTGTCCACAGTTTTGTGCGTTATTGATTAATTCTACCATGACATTGATGAATGCTTGATTCTGATTGGTTAAAAAGAGGTTTCCTTTTTGCTACGGAAACCCCTTTCAAATATATTAAGCCTTTTCACAAAAAAACGTGCGTATGAATACATAGATGATTCATAGAAAATGGCTGCCGATCGATCACCCAGCACTCTGTGAAGTCATTATTGTTGACGTTTTTATTGATAAGAATTGACTTCAATATATGTTTGCGTTTGTGGCGGTATCGTGGCGGTCTGGAAATAGACAAAGCAATGATCGATAGCATGAGCAGCGGGCCAGCGAGCTCTGCCCCCTTCTTCCAGCCATGACCCTTTCAGCCATCTTTTACCAGAATTGGTCTTCAGCAACCCATGCTTGTCTTAAGGGGCGACTATGCTTGCACTAATTGACACTAAATAGTCAATTCATCGTTATTTTAGTTGAAAAAGTGTCACCAAATAATTTTTAAGAATGTATTTTTTGTAACACAACATGATGAATATGATAAAAAAATGGGGGATGCGCACTCCCATCCCCCCGATCCTGTATGGGGTCAGGCCTTTACGATGAGGCCTGGCAATTATTTCAGGAAAAAAGGGACATACCGTATTCGACGTAATAAGCGCCCCGCTCTAATAAGCGCCCATATTTGCTAATATATTTAATAGCTAGTGAACAATCCTAATTAGCACCCCTTCCGATTGACCAATGTACACAAGACTTATTTATTCGTGTATAATACACACTCGTGTGTTATATGCACCCTTAATTATGGGCAATTAAATTATTGAAAAAATATCTGTCGTGTATAATACGCACAGACTTTTCTTTTGTATCATTTCAGGCTGTTAGCATAAACCGCGAAATTTACGATCTTTCAACTTTGTTTTTTGTTCTCACGAAAATTATATTCTAATAAGGGCCCCATATTTCTAATTTTGAGAGCGCCGTGGGCGCTTATTAAGTCGAATACGGTAAAAACATCGAAAGATTTTATGACGCTTCAAGAGTTGATACGTTCCCGTTACTCATGGGCTTTGTAATCAGTTCGACTACCGAATAGCAGTTTGAGAAGAAATTATGGTTGTCTACGTGTTAACGAGAAATTATACTTTTTTGGTCATATTTGTATACGAGTCAACCGGTTGAAAGCGTGTGGACAAGGCCGCCATCGAACACGGAATATACCTAAATGTACTCGATTATTGTTGCACACCGGCAGTCAGTTTATAAACGTTTGGCCAATCTGATTACGGGAAAGCCAGAGTTTGTTATGAAGGGATCTGCCAATGTGTTTGTGAACGTGTGTCTGAATTAACGAGCTACCGGCCCCACTTTTGCTATGTCCCAAACAAGCAAGGAATGCATTCTGAACGATCAAGCTCCTCGCAGCGATAGCCCGTTCGCGGAGCTCTCTATACTATGTTACCGAGAGTGTAACGAAGGTGTCACGCGCTGGGAAGGAGCTTGGTGAACCATCCGCAAAGGGAGGTAAGCACGATATGCGAGGACCGGGCGCAGCGGAGGCTATTTTTAGATCTGACGCTAGTCAAAAGGCGAAAGCGTTCGGCGATATCAAATGTATTGCTTGATTTTATATTTTTGTATTTAATGAAAGTAGATTAAAGCAAGAAATGAAAACACATTTGCAAAGAAGATTTGATTGCATTAAATATTTTAAACTTCACATGTGGTAGCAGGCGGTTCGGTAGTGTAGTGGTTATCACGCTCGCCTCACACGCGAGAGGTCCTGGGTTCGACCCCCAGCCGAACCAATACGTTTTTAACATTTGCCTATGTATGCATTTTTTATATTTACAGTTTCTTCTCATTTTATCAATTTATCAGACCCAAACTAATTAAATTTTACATTAATAATATATAATTCTGTAAATTGTTCACGCTCGAAAACAGGAAATTGCGATGTGTGCTTCTGTACAAACAAGATGGTGACCGACGTTTATCCATTGAACACATCTCTACCGGTTAATCTCTAATAGTTACAGATGTAAGGTAAAATGTACTACAGTCATGTCTCGTTAATCCGACACTCGGCTTTATCCGACACAAATGATGGGAACCGGTTGATTCAGTGCTATTTAGACCCGTGAATCAGAGAGTCTCGCCCTCCGACTCCGACACACCTAATTTGCAACGAAATACCGAAATCACTCATTAATCAGTCTTGTTAATCCGACACAGTGATCAGCGTACTCCGTGGTCATCTGCCCGCGAGTACACAGCCAGTGTTTTGATGCGAGACGAATCGGCTGGTAGCCGCATATTACAACGGCTGCAGAGATAAACTTGCTTTAAGTTTAACAATAAAAAAATAATGCTTTAAATACAAAGAAAACAGGATAAATCACATGCTTAGATTACCTCAATCTTATTAAAATCAGATACAAGTTCTCGCTCTCGACGAGGACATCCCATTACAGGTCACGTCAGAACAACGTTTCGCGAACTATGACCGACCAATGAAATTACCAACCGGAAGTCGACGTTAGCCACTTAGAAAGCAGCTTTCTTAAGCTTTGGGTACCAGTTTCAAAGTTGCGACTTCCATTCCAGACTATGCTTTTTAAAGTATTTTTGAATAAGTTATACAGTGCGTATTATGTTCTGGGTATTACGTCTGATACGTTTCGTTACGTTAAGCTAATTTGTATACCGCTATTTGTGTCTGTAAAGTCGGGCTCAACCCTATGAACAAAATTGGCCTCTTCGTACATATTTATACCAAGTATGTCACAGCTAGGGTATTGTTTTTCGTTTTTTGAGGAAAGTTGTTTCCAGTAACAAAATTAGGATTACCAGGTCCGTCTTTTTTCTTCACGCAGAGTTAAATTATGAAAAAAATGTAACTCACACTGAAAAATGTATACCCTTTAAAATACTTTTCTTTTCTTTTTTAAATTAAGATTTTTATGATATATCTATTTTTCTTTATTCAAATGTAGTATATCAACTATCAACAAAAACGTCATGTTTATATAATTTGATATATATTTGTTTCATCCACTGTGCAAACGGATTAAGGTACGTACGTTTGTCAATAAACACGGCAATTTATAAACCTAAACACGGAAATTTATATGCATAAACACGGTAATTTATATGCATAAACACGGTAATTTATATACATATAAACGGTAATTTATATACATAAACACGGTAATTTATATACATAAACACGGTAATTTATATACATAAACATGGTAATTTATATACACGGTAATTTATATACATAAACACGGTAATTTATATACACGGTAATTTATATACATAAACATGGTAATTTATATACACGGTAATTTATATACATAAACACGGTAATTTATATACATAAACACGGTAATTTATATACACGGTAATTTATATGCATAAACATGGTAATTTATAAGCATGTATATAATAGAGGCCAAAACTATCTCGTTGGTCAGTTTACGAGCACGGAATAGCGTACAGATTATGAGAGGCGCACGGACGGCCCAGTCGTCTTTGACGCCGCAATTCCCTGTGCAGAGTTGCGTCCCTTGGGCACACCAGAAACCTCATTCGAGACCAACTCGTGTTATTCCGGGACAAGCCGAATAGCGACTCGTGCCCCTTTCTAAGCTGGTTCCCGGCTCCCTATGCGCGTCGTCATCTTGCGCCAGGCTAGGATTCGGTACAGGCCAAAATTAAAAACACTCAGCGTGTTTGTTTGACGTCACATCCGGTTATTTTCAAAAATGGCTACCCTAATACAGGGGGACACACCTGTGAAAAGTGTGTTATCTTGCGTTTGCTGTGGTAAACCAAAACCTGGTGGCGTGCAATTTTATAGGGTAGAAACTAGACCAACAAAATCAACTGACAACAGTCTCGCTAATCTTTTGGAGCGCTACAGCGGATTAAAAGTGGTTCGTGGGTTGAATTCTAAGTGAAGACTAAAAAAAAATGCATTTATGAAATTCGATGATTTTGTATATTCCCATAAACCTAAAACAATTAGATCATGCCCTCTACATGGTTAAAATAGCTGCAACGTTATTATTGTTGACATATTTATTTACAAGAATTCACTACTATATTTTTTGCGGATTTACACAAAGTGTGCACACCAGCTTTTTCGTTTGCAAATACCACCATAAACTAAATTATTGAAGTCAACTCTGAAATAATCTATGTTCCATTGACATAATATACAAAGCTATCACGTTTCATGGATAGTTGCCAAACTATTGGTACCCAAATGTTTATGTTTTATTTGTTTGAAAATGTAAAGAGGCAACTTCTACCATAGCACCACTGCACATGTAACTGTCACGGTCGCTGTTCCGAGATGCACCACCGTACAATGTAACTGTCACGGTCGCTGTTCTAACATGCGTCGTAACCCACACAGGGCAACAAAGTCCTAAGAACAGTTAAGGTAAATATTATATAAAATGTAGACTGCAATCGTTTGATTTATGATTAATTGAGTGATCTTTGAAGATTTTATAGATTTTCGGGCAAGGAGGTCCATTTACACCTTGTCCAGAATGACGGCTTAAAAAATTCTTAAAAATGTTATGAAGTAGAGAAACTGACACAGGCTTTCCCCTTGAATGATCTAGAGGAACATATATGTCCCTCCTCTACAACCCTCACTTTGAAGTCGAATACAATTCAAACTGCACCACTCACAGAGACGCTTCACAGTTTTGAATACTGTGGGAAATTCCCTGTCATCCACTGGCATTTAGGGCCAAGCAAAACTACTGAAAATGACCTCTGAAAATTAGGTACAAAATAAATGTCGCCATCTTTTTACACGTTACTAAATTAGCACTCACGGCGTTATTTACAACATGTTTTTGAAATAATAATTTCGGCTATTTATTCGGAGAAATGAATTAATAAAAACGGGTATCTGTCTTTGATCAAACCCTAATGATCATTCCGAAACGTCGCCGACAGCCCTAGAATCGTTTAGAATGTCTTGGAAAATACGCAAACACGAACGCCGAAGTGAACTTTCCGCCATATTGGATAGTGTTTACAAAATCACGTTTCACGTATACCGGTTATGAGATGCCAGTAACATCACGTTAATTTCACACTCAGCTGCGATACATACATGCTTGCATTCCTCATACAGAGTCGAATCAAATGACACATGGTCCTTGTCACCAATACAAAGTGTGTAGATGAAATCAATCAAAATTATTTAGGTGTGAAAACGAACTCTGTACTCGAAAAACTACAGTTGTTTGAAATGTAAACAAAGCAAAATTCAGATTTAACACAGTGTAGCTATTTCTCCTTTTTGAACTATCCATTCGTCTATTCATTGAATACATTGTCTCAACAATTTCGGAATATGCATGGGAAAAGAATCGTATGAAGAATTAGGGAACTAAAAATAGATACATTGCAATGGTTGATATTTTCAACAGAAATTGTCAAAGTTTCCGTCCTGTACGTGTGACGCCATGACTGACGCAAAATCACGCACAAAGGCCACGGTATTTATCGGTATTTCTGACTATTTCCGTTGGTTTAGACCGCCTCTGTGGTCTTATGGTAGAGCGTCCGCCCGGAGAGCCTCCAGGGTTCGATCCCGGGCCGCGTCATACAAAAAGACGTTAAAAGATGGTACTTGTTGTTACCCTGTCTGGCGCTCGGCATTAAGGGGCTTAAACAAGGACTGGTCGGCTCGGAGTCAGTATACTGTGTCTGAGTGGGGTATTCATATTAAACTGCGGCATGGTATCTCAGTGAGCTAGCACTATAAATCGGCATCAGTCCGGACTAGTACAAGCAGCCACACACACACATACACGTGCATGCACGTCGCGATATAAGTGCAATAATCTTGGACGCGACGTTAAACCCAATTTCACCTCACCTCACCTCACCTCACCTCACCTCACCGTTGGTTAAATGAAAAATATCACAACAAATAACAGTATACTGATTGTCAGAATGATTCTCATTACTTACATGTCACATTTATGTTTATACGATCCCTGAATCAACGAAGATCCCCTCGTAAAATCCCGCGTGCTGTTGACAGTGAACACGCCATTTTGTAAAAGTCGGTCACCGGTAGCTATGTCATACGTCAACATTGTTGTACATATTTGGTAATTTCTTTGAGTGAGTTTGGTTTTAGGCCGCTTTTAGCAATATTACAGCAATATCACGACGAGGGACACCAGAAATGGGCTTCACACATTGTACCCATGTAAAGAATCGAACCCGGGTCTTCGGCGTGACGAGCGAACGCTTTAACCACTAGGCTACCCGCTGAATGAAAGCACTCACGATCATTGTATCCTGCTGTTTACAGTTATAATTATTATGTAGATTTTGCATATCTTTCATACATTTTTTCACACATTTAATTTCACTTTGGATATTTGTCAATGTTCGATATGATATCATACGTAGATCTAGGCCACAACATGCTTGAACCTTTCATAATATTCTGTTTGTTTGAACATTATTTTCATTAGAAATTGATAGTTTATAGTGTCGTATATGACTTTTTATTTTATAATTTGGACAAGTGTCATTATCTTACGTTGAATCACATATTTTTGACAATGCAGTTAATAATGAACTGTACAATGTGCAGAAATAGTTTTATATTGCTAAATATTGAGATATGCAGCAAGACAACAATGCCCGAGAGGAGGTAAGCTAAAGAACCTCTTTCCCACATCGTTTTCAAGGTAGCCAAAATTTAAGAAATCCCTTAGCGTTTTTTAGAATATTATATTAATCATAAATTAGTTCC